AAAAATCAAATGTCTCTAAAACGATTTTATTTCTACATTAAATTACAAAGTTATACCACAAGTTTTACTATTATGTTATGGAGTAATGACCATAAGCTAAGGTGGTCACTCCATCCTCTAAGATATATCTCTTATCGTCATATGGACTAAGTCCTATCTTATTCATGTTTAAGGTATAAATTTGGTGTTTGAAACTTCTTAACTGTTTCATRTTATTAATGGTTCGCTTCTTACTAAACAAACAATCTCTATAGTGGGAATGACGGATGTCCCTCTTGGTCACATTCTTGGAGATTCCCTTGGCCGTCTTCTTCTCCAYCTCACACCCATTTTCATGGTATTGYAGRGAGTACATTTTKGGGCGCAGACCCACAAATTCTTYAATGGGAATACCATGGGTTTCATCTTTCATCTTTCCTATCACTTTTTTATTGYGAGTGCTGTGTAGAGTATGGTTTCTGGGATAGTMTGAGGTGTCAAACAGATCCAAGTCCCGATTCATATCTTCATAGATGTCGTCGGTCTTGATATCGTAGCACAGTGAATCGGTGTCCGTGAAAAGAAGTTTCGCTTTCTCYCCATAGATCTGTTTGATGTAATTGTAATGAAAGTCATACATGAGGACTTTAGACAGGTCGAGGATGGCGAATCCCACGTAAATGGGACGGTTGAGATAGAGGGACGGTTTTCTCAGGTTAACACCCACCAGGTCTTCATCAAAGATACGAAAATAGTCAAACAAGGGGGATGCTGATARTTTCTTCAACTGCTTGACGGTGTTTACAAGTTTCACATTGACCCTTTTTCTTAGGTTTTCCATGGTTTTCCCAAAAACAGAATTATTCATGAGCTTGAAGAAATCCTTTTCAAAGTCGTTTCTTGCATGTTTTCGCTTATCAGTGTTGAAATCGATGTAGGTTTTTAACCAGGGAGATTGGTTAAATCTTAGCACTCGTTGGATTCTGATTAATTTCATCCCCAGAGAGAGATAGAGTTGGAGGWTTCTGTAGTGGAGCACATAGCGTTCTTTGTGATGTAAATTAGGAACGAGTTTCGYCGTTGGGACATATTTCATTTGCAGATCGTCTTGGAGTTGGACAGCATACGGYGACAACCACTCTTCGGGGACTCTCAGTTTTTCTGGAGCCAGTGGGTAGTCATTGTGTTGGTTGTGAAGGTGTTGAGGATACTCAAGGTCGACTTCAAGGATGAATCCCTCTGTTCCATCTCCAGGGAGAGTCGTGGTGATGGTTTCTTCTAGCTTCTCTATTTCTCCAGGGGCCAACCATTCAAAATTGTTGACTGGGAGAGACTGAGACATTGCCCAACCATAGAGATTGTKTGCATCGAGGTACATGATATAATTATGTGGTTTTTCAGGATCATAGTTTGGTAGATAAGGGTTATTTGCTTGAGCATGCCTATGAGTGATTTGACTTATCCCCCCTCTCAAACCTTCCTCTACAAACAGATACATATCCGGATCTCTTAAGAGTTCTAATTCGACCTCTGTCATTTTCAAACAGGCAGCCCATGACAAACCGGGAGCCGTGAAAAAGTGACCTGGATCCAACTGATAACATTCTAGACAGATTAGGCGAAAATTCTCAAAAACATCGGCCAAMAGGAGAATATCCGACTTTAAGTACAAATCATGGTAATCACCTAAATTCTGACACTGAAAAGTGTGAAAGACCTCTTGAGCATGCTCGTAATCAGGTACAGAGACAGAACTTCCGGTCAACGAGCTGAAAAAACAATCTATGCTAGGCAAYTGAGGTTCTTCAAACTTTTCAAAGGAATCTAAATATTCGTAAGGATAAACGCCCTTGCGCAAGAGGAGAGRAACCTTGTCCTCGTCCACATACCGTTCCAATGTCTTAAATTTTTCTACGCCCTCTTTGCTGAGATTATCCACTAGACGTTCCAAAGAACTATTTAAAAACTGAAGGGAGTCAATGAAAACGAGATTGCCCACCGAAAAGGAGATATACTTTTCTGGATTGTTTGCAATGCACTATATTTTTTCCGACTTGAGTTTCCCTAGACCTTGCATCACCAGATGCTCGTCATACCCTCTAAGGTTATGAAAGATTACAGGATGCTTCCCAGAAAACTTGTAGTTCAAATTGCACTCATTGTGGGCGGGGCCACGGTAATATCCGGTCACGTGACAGTGATCGCGAACTCTATCGGCCCCAAGCAGGTGATTGCAAATGTGACAATGAGTGGCATTTTGAAATTCACACTSCTGCTCCTCTGTGATGATCATGGGAGCCACCTGCTCAAGAACCGCTGAAATCCGTTTTTCTTCCTCTAACAAACACTGCAAAAACCTATCGACACAGTCTTTCCCTCTATAAATCACTGGAGCTTGGTTTAACTGCTCAACAGTGGAGACCACAACATACCCAAACCCACAGGGCTGATGATGYTGDGTTTTCTGTGTTCCRCTCATGTTATCRTCCAAAGGGGAAGAAGCACACGGGACTAAAATAGACTCAAAATCTGCATAAATGATGCAAGGGACTTTGAGYTGCTTCTGTACCTCTTTGAACGACAACGTTGCGTGGTCTTCATCTGGCAACCGAATCCGTTGGGGTCCATGCCGACCACAGCGGGRTTCGTGGTCTTCCAACAAAGCTTGCCGGACAAAACCATGCAAACAGTAGACACAGTAATATCGTTCTCCGTCGTGATTTGTTAAACTACCYATTAATCTACTAAAATTTCTGATGAGACAATAATGTCTCTTATCTTCATATGAATATAATAGTAAATTAATATGCGTTACTTGTTTTTCTTTGGTAATGTAAAGCGGGAACAGTTCATTGTCTTCGAAACCAAAGACATTGATACTGATGTTGTTCTGACGTTCAACYTTAGAGATTTGCTTGACTTGAACTGKGTAATCTACTCCCTCCATGTTGAGCTCGTGTTCATACTTTYTGTAGTGRTGAACACRWTGWGGGTKAGCGGACCTTTGGACGGGATGGAGTGCTGCCACCACCGACCACAGAAAACATTTCTGGTCTTCATTTTGGATGTTCAGGATCGCTTTTTTGTCTTTAATCCTCTTGGGAAGGGGAAGATAGCTTGAGCCATGAAGTGGGTTGTATGTCACAACATTCAACTCCAAGTGGAGAACCTATTCAGAAATAATGTTTTTAGTTCCTCTTCAATAATAATTGCATCACAAAAAGATGCTCACCTCATCCAGTTGCCAGCCGCTGCCCTCTCTCTGGTACTCGAGGAATGAGTTTTTCATTTTTTCCATAGCTTCATTGTATTGGTGTTCTAAAGTGTGAGGATCGGTGGTGGTTTGACACCGGCTTCGGAAATGTGGAGTAGCAATGTGGTCTTCT